CAAATTTCGACCTCTGCCGCGTAATTCGATAAATTAATCAACATTTGACGTTCGAGCGAGAAAACAACAAACTGTTTTTCAATCGAGGTATTTTATGATGTATCTCGTGATATTATTTTTCAGCAGAAGGTTATATATGGCGACTCGTCGCGAGACCGAAAAAAAATCTTGTGTAAAAACGTGGTCGACGAAACGTTTCAAGTGCAAGCCGTGCATTTCGCGAATACGTGGACCAAAAGTTCTCGGGGGAGAAGACGAAACGATGCGTATATAGGAGAGAGGAAGAGAGGCCGGTCTGCTCTGAGCTTCAATCCTTCCCTCCCCCTGCCATCTCGGAGCTTGAAAATTGCAATCCTGCATTGCTGTTTCATAAATTCGAGCCACCCTCTCTCGTTCGTTAATGTCATTCTCCGTGAGATTCTGTTTTTTTTTTTTTTTTTTTTTTTTTTTTTTTTTTTTTAGAGTCGAGCATCATAATTATTGCAGCTGCTGCTTCTGCTGGATTTCTTGAAAAATGTATAACTTGACTCGTGCCCTTCTTCTGCTCCTATGTACCTCGTTGACATGTTTCACGCGAGAATCATTGCGCTGTGTCGTAAGAGATGCTCGAATTGTTTGGTAATTCGTTGCTTCCTCTCGTTGCACTACTGTACCGTGAATCGTATCTTTGTGTTTGAGGTAATTTTTTCAATTATTTATTCTCATTTTATTCTTCCCTTTTTAATTTATTTCATCCTAAATTCCAGCAAATACTCGACCTACAAAAAATTTAATTGACTGAGAGCCATGTACATATACATACATAATAGCTACGAGAGTAGGGCGAGTGTCTCAACGAGTCGCTCCTTGTTAGTGCAACACGTCATGATTCCTTTGTGACGAATTTTCGAAAAATTAATGCTTAGGTGTGCGTTAAAATAGGTCTCAGCATGACCAATCTCGAGTTTTCGAATTTTCCGCAAAAAAGGTATCACCTCTGTTCGTATTTAAAGAAGATAAATCCATCCCTCCCGGGGCGCTTGTCATTTGCAATGTACAGACTACCCTTATCTCGCTTTTCCCATTTGGGATTTACGTATACTTCATTCGTACTGCTGTGCAGCTGCTGGGACAGTCGGATGATACTTGTTTTTAGTATTCGTAAACCAACAAATTATTTTCATAACTTTTTGTACAAAAAATAAGCATAATAAATAAATCACGCAAAAATGCACTTTACTCTGATAGAATGTTTTTGGTTTTTTTTGATAAAACAAAAATCCACTTTCATCGTTACGAAGTGGATTATATATACGGGAGAGAGCTAGCATCTCGTTAGTTCCTGCCGTGTTTACACACTCGACAAGTCTCTTCTTCCCATGCATGAATACTCACAGCATGCAAAAATCGCGCATGAGATAGACCATGAGTAGAGAGTCCCCGGATCTCCTCTCTGGTGAACAATTAGGAAGTGCAAAATTTTCGAAACAAAGTGAAAAAAAAAAAAAAGTAGCAGTAGCGTAGCACAAGCTCCTAATAACCTGCAGCCGGGATGAATAATTCAGGAAGTTTTTCATTTACTGGCGCGCGTTCGCGCTTTTACACGTGCACGAAAAAAAATATATACAGAGAGAGAGGAAGAATTAACGTGGAAAAAAAAACGGAGCAGAGAACTTTGGCTACTCTCTCTCTCTCTGCACGCGTGCGTATACGTACAAGGGGATCCATAATACGACGCCGATGAGGAATAATAATCGCATGCAAGGCGGGGCACGCGATGCATATTTCACGCGCGGCCTCGTCGACGGCTCGTAAGCGGTAATATTAAAATTTCTCACCCGACCGATTACCCCTTTCTCCTCCTCCTCTCTAGTCCTCTTTGAGCACTTTTTACTACAGATTACGTTCACCGCTCGTACGTGGAATCGTTAATTTTTTTAATACCTGCACTTGAAAGGGGGAAACGGGGCGAGTGGGGTCGAGTTTTTTTTTACAAAAGAGTAAATTTTTCCGGGGGATGAAAGGCTCATTATATCTCGTACCTATACACGTATCCTTTGAATATTGTATAAATGGACTTTGAACACGTAGTAATTACTATGCTTTTCATCCGAGCATCCGAAAGTTGAACTAACACAAGATTAAAACACATTTTCGTACTCTTAGTGTAAAATAATGTAAAAAGCTTATACATTGCTCATCGCAGCATTCAACTGTAAAACGGTATTTAAATGAACAAAATACGTATTGAAAAAATCACCACGAACCACCGCGCAGTCAAATTCAAGGATGACATTCCCATAGGTTGTTTGAAAAAATGTTTATTTCCCCATCTCAGAAGACACCGCTATTCGTACAGGTATCTGATTACCAGTGGGGGGCAACTATCCAATCCCGGGCCTGCGATACCCCAAAAAGCTCGTCGTCGCGCAATCTTGTCGTTGGAAAAAGCTCACACATACGCACACCTACGAAGCAACATGAGCCCCAACTTGTACGCATAGGCCGAGCAAAGTCACGTGTAAATATATACCTCGCGGATCTTCATCCCTCGGCTAATGTGTAATTACTCGAGGCGCTCCGTACGCGATAGCAGAGCACAGATAGTACAACGACGCAGCACAAAGAAGGGGAGGACGGGAAGAAGAAGGTTCTCCTCGGCAATTTCACGGGGCGCTCGCTCCGCGTCGTAACGCAATTTTCGGAGGCGCCGTGGATGGGCTGGAGGGTCGTTTTGCGCCGTTCCCTGGAATTCGCACTGCGCGCTCGTATCATGTACAGATGGGAGTTACACGGTATACATGTATATTTTCCAGGCTCGCTCGGTCCTCATTTGACGGAAGTGCTCCAAGGATTTATGTGTGTGTCCGTTTGCGGAAACACGCAGAGCCAGGACTGAAGGGGGCTCGGGGATTCCACGAGTGCGCGTCGAGGCAAAAACGAAGGTTGTACATCGTGTGTCTGTCAAAGTTGACGGTTTGAATTATTGTCGACTGGGAGTGTGTAAGGCAACGTCTTTGGGTCGATCTGATGGAGAATAACTCGTCGTTTCCACAATGACTTCGGTCACGCTCTCGGAGTGAAATTCTCGTCATTTGTTTTAGTTTTTTCACAAATATGTATTCGAGCAAGATTTAACAACTAAAGTCGCAATGGTACCTACTAATTGATAATAACTGTGATTGTAGAGAGATCCACAAAGCCCCTAGTACACCCCATGTTTTCACAGTACTGAATGGCCGTATGAAAATTTCACTCGCCAATAAGTACCCTGCCCCGGCCCCTGCATTTCAGGGATCGAATCGCTCCATGAAAACCAACGTCTGCAAGTTTAACGCCCGACGCGCACATGCACCTAAGTAGGTACAATAAGCGAAAAAGCTCGCCGAGTATGTAACTATGTACACACACCCTTTGCAGAAGGCGTGCATTTTACAGCAGAGCTTGAATGGAATGGAATAGAAAGCAAGCAGACCCTCAGCGAGTTAGTTTACGAAGTTAACCTGCAGAAACTTCTGCCCAAAGTGGCTCTCCTCGGCTATACCGCCCTCGCGTTATTAATCTCAAATTCTTGGCGCCCTCCAGATGTGCAGGTGTAGCGCGAAACAAAGGGAATGTATACAGGAATTGTATGCGTGTGTGTATGAGAGAGAGACGCAGACGTGACTTTGTTGGATGGTCTGTACCTACAGTTCTGCGACTGCGTTGCGTTGACGATGGTGAGTGTGTACAAGAGGAGGACCATTGTGATTCCGGGCACGGGTTTCTACCTGAGGGTCCACTCAAAAATTTAACTCTGAAGGAGTAGGAAAATTTCGGCTCTTTTCCTCTCTCGTCTCGGAGGTACACGACCCTTAGTTTGTACGTGCGTCGACTCGATTAGTATCGCGATACCATGGCAAATGTCTGTGGATTCTTGCTACAGTATATCGTGTTTGATTATTGGGTATTTAGTTTTTTTTTTTTTTTTTTTTTTTTTTTTTTTTTTTTTTNTTTTTTTTTTTTTTTTTTTTTTTTTTTTTTTTTTTTTTTTTTTCCTGTACAATGATATGTGTGTAAGGTGCCACATCGCGTTGAACACAAAATCCAACGATTTTTCAAAACCGCGTACGTCTCCGCTTGTGTAACGTCGTCGAATCGTTTATCTCTTCCGGGAAGGTAGCGAATTTCCCCCTTGCCCCGTTCCCCCCTAGCAGCAGCGCAAGAAATATATTATTCAGAGTCCCCAGCAAAAGCCACCTCGTTTTTCCTCCTTTTTTTACACCAGTCAATCGTAATCCCCGCCGGAATGGCTGCAGGGAAAATAAGAAAAAGGTGGGCGGCGTTTCCTTTGTGCCCGCGTTCCGTCCAATATCTCCTGTCCATGATGTCTGTCGGGGGGGGGGGGTGGAAGCGAGCGACGACGTCATCGAAGAGGACTCGCTTCTTCTGCTCCCCCATTGTGGGGTAAACGAACGAAACCTCTGGCGCGAAGAACGCAACAAGTGTCAGCGAGCGTGTCTTGGAGCTACGCCAGATAAACCCGGGTTTTCTCGGGGACGACGGAGATTGCTGTTTGTGATTCGAGTGGATCGAGATTCCTCCTCCGTCGCTGCACTTCCCGTGCACCCGACTCGCTCTTGTTTGATCCTCGAAATGACTTCTGCACTCTGATGCTGTCCTCCTCCTCCTCCTTCTCTATACGAGAGATCCCAGGGAACGTACATACCTACGTACCTTCGCTTTCTTATGCACGACTTTCTTGCTTTCTTTCCCCCACGGTGTACACGCCTGCCTTTGTGTTTGGTTTTCCTTCATCGTTTCCCTCGATTACTTCCACTCCCCCTACCTCCTACTTTGTCTCTCTTTGCCGGATAAGTTCACCCTTGCCTCAGTATAGAGGCAAAAAAAGAACAGTTTTCACGAAACGTATATATACCATTGCTCACACTCATTACTGTATATCACTACATGTATTGAAATTTCGAGTTTTGGTGAATCTTGTTAATATCATTATTATGTTTATTTTATTGTCAATACAGGCGAAGCTGCGCGTGATGGTGGAGGAGAACGTGGGACCGGGGCTGAGGCTGGACGGTGGCGGCGAGCCGGACGCCGGCAAGCCCCGACCCGAGCTGGTCGGCGCTGCTCGGGCCATCGTCCGGGACGCGCTCTCGTTCAACAATAACAGCAACAACAACAACAACAACAACAACAACAACAACAACAACAACAACAACAACAGTCTCAACAGCAATGGTGGGGGTGGGAGCAGCGCGAGTAGTACCACGAGCACGGGTACGACGGGTGCCTCGACGCCCTCGAGCAGCAGCGGTGGGGTGCCGGCCACCGGTGGGCCAAACTCCTCGTCCAGTGGCCCGGAGGTTGGGAGTCCGGCCAACTCGAGGGACCACCATCTGGTGCAGCCGGACGACGCGGTCGGCAAGAGGCTGAGCAGCGGCAGCAGTCCCGTCGACAAGAGGAGCTCGCTCAGCGAAAAGAGCCTCAGCCCGATCGACAAGAGGTGCAGTCCCGTCGACAGGAAGCCCAGTCCCGTCGGTACGTGTAATTTCCCCCTTTTTGTTCCATATTGTATTTAGTCGTCGGCGTCGATTTAAACATTCAGTAGTACAACCCGAGTATGGTCAGACGGCGTCTCATTGCCGAGGATGTATACTACTACACGTTTTGGAGACACCTTGTACACGGTGCATTTAATATTTTTTTTTTTTTTTTTTGACCACATTCAACTATATTAAATCTCGTAATTTAATTGGTAAGGATCTTTGAGTATAAAAGGTTCCAAATTCCAAGCTGAAGCTACATTCGTGTTTCTCTCTTTGTTCATTATTACCATCGCGTGAGGAGTGTTAGTTCTCTGTAGACACGTGAGTTAAAAAAAAAAAAAAAAAAAAAAAATCAATAGTAATAAAATGTGTGTGGTCTCAGAGCGGCACAACGGGTCGCCGTGCACGACGAGTAGCCCGAGCGAGGGTAAAATCACGGCAGCCGGCAACAGACGAGCCTTCGCCCCGGCCCTGGAGAAGACGCGGCTGGGAGGCTCGGGCGGCAGCGTGGACTCGCGCTCCGACAGCGCCAGCCCCGTGAGCGGCAGCTTCTTCCGGCCGGGCGAGCGGCTGCGCATAACGACGACCCGCAGCCTCGGCGAGCACTTTGCCCGGCAGGCCGGCAACAAGGGCTTCGAGGACAAGGACATCAAGGACTTTGCCGACGGCGACGTAGACAACGAGCCTCCAGGACCCGCCCCCGGCAGCCGGCCCTGCTCCCCCGGCAACTCGTTAGGTACCTGCCCTTACATACCTATGTACACGCGACTCAAACCCTCGTGCTAAACGATGAAAAAAAAAAAAAAAAAAAATCATAGGAATTGGGGACCCGGTGGTGGCGTCGCGGTTGTCGAATCTACACGGTGGGGCCCACCACCCGGAGCTCGCGTCGAACCGCCGGCTGCGGTTGGAGAACGAGCGGCTCGTGACGGAGGTGGCCAGGCTGCGCCGACTGCTGTTGAGCGGCGCCTCGCGGGGCGAGGTCGGGGCAGACGAGGCGCAGATCGACGACGAGGCGCGCTTCGTCGCTCTGGAGATGGAGCTGCAGCGCGCCCGCGAGAACGTGCAGAGCCTCAAGGCGGACAGGAAGAGGCTCAGGGCCGAGAAGTTCGACCTGCTCAACCAGATGAAGGCGCTCTACGGGACCCTCGAGGACAAGGAGCGCGAGCTCCGGGACTTTATTCGGAACTACGAACAGGTTGCTTTTACCACCTATGTGTATACACCCCGAGCCATTAGCCCCCAAGAGTTAAGAATCTTTCAGGCATTTCAGACGCGACAGTACACACACGCCTTTCCGACGTAATGGAGTAGAAAAGGGGCAGATGGTTGGTCTTTTTTCAGCTCGAGCTGTAGTACGTCAGCTTGCGTCGATAGGCCCTGCCTTTTGACTCGTCCCGAAAAAAGCGCCCGTCAACTCCAACTAACGTTCCGGCTCTGCCCCGATATCTGCCCGTACGCGCGCGTGTTAGCTGGCGACGACTTTTCACGAAGATAACGCCCCTCACCCTTTCTGCCCCCGTTTTGCTCCGGTTCTTTATCTACCTTTATTGCAAGCATATTTTCAATATACCCGCAGCCGATTTATTTGTGAATCAAGTCGAGCACCCACGTATGATAAATAATTTGAAAAAAAAAAAAAAAAAAAGATTAGTGTGTCAGAATTATCATTTTACCAGTACTTTATACAACAGATAATCCAAAAAAAAAAAGAGGAAAAAATATGTGCCTCCGAGCCCCATTGCGATACCCAGAAGAAAAAAAAAGCTCCAACACGCACGACCCCGATAACTCACCCGGCGGTGTAGATAACACAGCTTGCGCCCGTCGGTGTATTCCCTACTTTACTTCACGAGCAGAGGGGAGCCGTGCGATTTTCTCCTCTAATCCGCGCGGGCCCGAAATCGCATAAAGACCACACTTGACTCGGCGCCCATACACTTGTACGTGTAAGGCCACGTGCGCATTATCATAGGACCAAGCGGATATCGTCGCGTGACCGAGAAATATTACCAGCCGTTTGCACCGGGAGACCAGTGTGGAATACAAAAAGCACAGGGGGGGGGGGGTAGTTTTCCTCGGTATATATAGGGATTACCACTTTTCTCGGGCGGCCGTCATCATCATCTCTTTGTACCCCGCTGGGTAGGCCGGATGAACGCGAGGGCCAGTCCTTTAATTGCGCGCTCGTGTCACGTATGAATACACAGCACGTTCTCGCCTTTTTTTTTCCTTTACTATACCCTCTACGTGTATGTACACACTCCTCCTTTTTTGACTCGGGAATCAGAAATTGACCGAAGGAGTAGTTCTCGGGGGGTGATGGAGAAGAACAGCAATAATCGTGGGAGGGTCGGTGTTTTTTTTTTTTCGCAGTATTCGTATGGAAATCAAGGGATGAGGGTGGGAACGCCGGGGATCGGAGCACGTTTTGTTTATCCACGGTTGGTTTTTGCTTCACAACAATAAGAGCTTGAAACTCAGTCAGAATTGAAGTAAACTTATCTCGCGTCTGACAGTACGTTTATATGATTATAAAGGAAAAATGGTATTCCCCCGCGTACCCGTCACCAAGTTCCCGAGTCAAACAAAACTGCGATGCGTATAAGAGAGTTCGCGGGAGTAGACTCGGCTGTAGACGAAAGAGAATCGTATGAAGAAAGGGCGGGGGGCGGGGGGTGAATTTTCCGCGCTTCCGCAGGCCGACGCGTCTTCTTCCCTCGAGTTGAGAGAGAGAGAGAGAGAGAGAAACCCGTGGGCGGGTGCACGAAAAGAGGTTAATGTTGTTTTGGAAACTCTCTCGACTTTACTTCGCAGTGGATGTGTACAATAAGTATATATTAAGTATATACGAGGTATAGTCCCGATTTTCAATCATCGTTTCCGAGAGGGTGTGTTGGATTATTGCCGAAGCGGTATAGGTTTGCCAATACAAGAGAGTTCGTGACGAGGAACGATTATGCAGGTACGAGAGGGCGTGGAAAGCCGGTTATCCCGGCGGGGTCGTGATCAGTATATTACATATTATACTCATTCGGATTCAATGTTCGCGCAATGGTGATACGCGCGCCTACTACCTGAATTAATGAAAAAAAAAAAAGTATGTACCTTTTGAAAGGTAAAGTGTAGAGCTCCTTTTGTTCCTGCCGCTTGTATACCCCGGCAGCTATAATAAAGGAAAACTTGATGGAAACACCCTATATAATTATGTTAGAGCTCCTTCCATCCCGTGCACTCGGATTTTTTGCGATAACTGTATCATATACGTATACTGATGGTGAACCACCCCCTTTGACGCGTGCAGCGGATGCGCGAGAGCGAGGCCAACCTGGGCCGAATGCAGCAGCCGGGCGTGAGCACGGAAGAACGGGAACTGGAGCGGGAGCGCGAGCGCTGGAGTCTGCTGAGGGCGGCGCGGGACGAGGCCGACCGGAGCCTCAGCCTCGCGGCCAGCCTCGCCGACAAGGAGGCCGCGCTGGCCCACGCCCACGTGACCATCAAGGAGGTAAGAGAGAGAGAGAGTAATCGATGAATCGGGACTTTGTTCGTCCTCATTTCCTATCTTGCTTCCTTTGGAAAAACAGCTTCAACGCCAGTTGGTCGACCGGGGCGGCGTGTGCCTGAGCGACCAGGAGTCGTTGGTCTCGTTCCCGCGAGGCAGCGTCAACGGGGCAGCGACTCCGGGGGCGGGCAGCAGTAGCGGGGGTATCCTGGGCCACCTGAGCTCCCAGCAGTCGCAGCCCACAGGCTCGGCGAGCGAACTCGTGCAGACCAGCGGAGCTGCGGCCGGTGGGGTGGGCGTGGGTGGGACAACAGCGACGCCGACGACGAATGTCACCGGGCAGGCCGGGGATCGGGGCAGCTGTAGCGCCGACAGTGGGGTGAGGGGCTCCAGCGACAGGGAGAGCGGAGGGGCTACCAGTATCGGTGGAAACCTCTCCGATTCGACGACCGATGGTGAGTCTGTTGATTTTTTTTCTTTTCTTCACCCCCCCCCCCTAATCGCTCGGGGTTACACTGCAGCGTGCGTCGAGTCCTTTTAATCATCTCTCACTAACAAATGGCCCTTTTTCCATATTATATCTTACGTTCCTTCTGATCGTGTGTCGTGGCGATCGATACACACCCACCAAGTATCATTTTAACACAGACCACATATACATAATACTATAGTGTGACTATTGAGCGACAGTAGGGTGTATTTCACGGAATCGCATGCGTCACATGAATTGTTCACGATACCAAGTAACACTCTACTTTGCTCCATACTCGATCATACACACATATACTTAGTAGAGCATGCCATCAGAAAATTAAAAAAAAAAAAAAAAAAAAAAACAGCTCGTGTGCGCGTAAGGATCGCGAAGCAGCATAAAGAACACAAGATGAGAAGCTAAATATTCCCAAAACTGCACGATCACTGTACAGTGTACACACGTATGATGTTGAGCACAAGCAAACATCCACACCCATTCGCGTGAACCTCACCATAAGATACACCTGATGGATAAATTTGGGGGAGGGGGGGGGGGTAAGCAAAGGGTAGAGTACCAAACGACGGGAGGACACACCTCGGTGGACGCGGCAGAGTTATGAATCCCTCTCGTTTCGTCCCGACAGGTACGCCGGTGCTGATGCGAGTGGACGGTAGCAGCGGCCTCGAACCGGACAGCATCTCCATAGCCACGTCGTCCCACGTATACGCATGTAAGTTCACCCTTCGCGCTCGTGCCTCTTTCGTTGCTTCTTTTTTTTTTTTTTCACAATTTGTCCATCCCTTCTTCTCCCTCTATCCGTCTATAGGCTGACTCCGTGGCTTTTTTTTGTTTCTTGCATGGTTGATATTTGGTCGTCTAGACGACGTCACCGCCAAACACTTTGTAAGCAGCAACATACACGCACGTATACGTATGCATGCACAGTATAGTGTACGGGGTATATATACCCGTAGCCGTTGTTATAGCGTGTGGCTTATTTCCTTTCGAGCTCCTCGATTTCCTCGAGAGAGAGAGAGAGAGGCTGGCAGCAGCAGCCCAACTAACCAGAAAGAGAGCGAGCCCAAGAGTCGTCTGGGCGCGTTTTCCATTTCCGCGGACGTTTACCTTTTACTGCTCCCCATCAGCTCCTACCCCCCCCCCCCGCACACACGCTTCTTCTTCTACTGGCCCACGCTCGAGAACTTTCGGGCTGTTCCGCTTAATTGAGCGGCATTTTGGTGGATGGGCTGCTCAAAGTGTCGAGACACGGCCACCAACACCGTGGTTTCGGCCGTGCTGTTTTTCCACCCCTCCCCTTCTTTCGTCTTCTCTTATCCTTCCGTACGAATGAGGGTGCTGATGCATTTTAATTTGAACCAAGTGGCGATGCGTCACGAGACCGGATGATGATGAAAACCCTCTCAGATTTCATTTGTGCGCCACTGTACCATCTTTCTCTCTTTTTCCTCTGTTGTAAAATATTCTTGCGTTTGCACGTGTTGCATGAATATACATATACGTACACGTAGATTATAGAGGCATGGGCATGAGACGTTGACTCTCTGCGGACGTATGAGGGTCATTTGGCTCGATTTCACGATTCGGTGTTGATCAATCGAAAAAGAAAAGAAAAAAAAAACTGTGTTCTTTATGGTGCGTAATCAGTGTCGTCCAACCATGAAAATAAAAATGAAAAAAAAAAAGAAAAAAAAGAGAGGTAAAAACGAAATTTGGTGCTTTTAGCGACGACCCCGAAGGACTGTAGCCCGACGCTGTCGCCCCTGAACGCGTTCTCGAGGTCTATGGACAACTCGTCCCTGTCGCGGTCCGTCGAGCAGCTGTCCAGCCCGCTCGACGCCGAGCCCGGCAAACGCGGCTTCGGCGGCAAACACCAGTCCTCGGCAGCCGTGCCCCTGGTCCCCCAGACCGTGCACTCGAGATCCTCGGCGACCCGAGGCGGCACCTGGGGCTCCATCTCCAGGTACGTGGCATCACACACCAAACGCAAAGCAAATACACTCACCAGTCATGGTATACGTGACAGGGTGTTTGCGCGCACTCGCCACCGAAAAACGACCAGCAGCTCCGGAGGTCTGGACGGTGGCCCCGAGACATTCGACCCCTACCGCTCGTGGTCGCCCCTCACCGAGGAGGGCTACGCCGAGAAGCTGAGGCTCCTCAGGGAGGCCGCCTCCGTGCCCATGGAGCGCTGGCGCGCCCCCACCGTCCTCGCCTGGGTCGAGGTGGCGCTCGGCATGCCCCAGTACGGCCCCAGATGCGCCGAGAACATCAAATCCGGCAAAGTACGTCTCTATACCCGTTTGCCCTACAATTGTAGAGGATGGGGGAGTACGAAAACTAAAAAAAAAAAAAACAAAAAAAAAAACACGCGTGTTTGAGACAGGTACTGCTCGAGATGAGCGACGCGGAGCTCGAGGCCGGCCTGGGTATGACGCACGCGCTTCACCGCAAGAAGCTACGGCTGGCGATCGAGGAGCACCGGCACCCGAACCTCGTGCGGTACCCGTGCATGGCCCAACTCGGCCACACCTGGGTGAGCTCCGAGTGGCTGCCCGACCTCGGGCTGGCCCAATACGCCGAGAGCTTCGCCATCAACATGGTCGACGCCCGCATGCTCGACCACCTCAGCAAAAAGGAGCTCGAAAAGTACCTCGGCGTCACCCGCAAGTTCCACCAGGCCAGCGTCGTCCACGGCATCAACTTGCTGCGCATGCTCAACTACGATAGGCAAGCCCTCGCGGTCAGGAGGCACAATTGCGAGCAGCTGGACGCGGATCCTCTCGTCTGGACCAACCAGAGGTTCGTCAAGTGGGCGAGGAAGATCGACCTGGCCGAGTACGCTGACAACTTGAAAGGCAAGCCCCTCTCACTCTCTCTTTTTTGTTCGTCATTTTTATGTATATCTACTTTGCGAGTGGAAGAAAAAGTGTATGGGTACATGTAAGTACCTGTAACGAGTGTATTGTTTTTCCTGTCGGATGAGCGCAGAGTCCGGAGTTCATGGTGCCCTGGTGGTGCTGGAGCCCTCGTTCACGGGGGACACGATGGCGACGGCGTTGGGCATACCACCGGCCAAGCAGATGATACGCAGACACCTGACGGCGGAGCTCGAGGCCATCGTACTGCCGGCCAGGTACTCGGTCTACCGGAATCCCGACGTCGTGCTCGACAGCTCTGCCCACTGATGAGCTGTCGCTGACATTACCACGGCCACTCACGACTTTGCCAACGATACGCCCGCGCTTCAAAGGCCCCACCATCGTTGCTCTCGTCATTACGTCGGACTAGCTCTATCCGATTGATTATCATACCCAATTTTCCATAAACAATTTTGGGTCGATTTAATCCTGCGATCGTAGCTTACACGCGAGTTTAAAATATTACCGCGGAAGTATACCCATGCTTGGCTCTGCCGTGGTGCGTCAGCATTTTTTTTTAACATTTAGGTAAAAGCAAAATCTTTCGCAGGATGTGAGTGTATTGAATTTTTCTCGTGTACATGATACGTGTCTCTTTACGCGACGTTGGAGTAAATTTGGAGTAAAATTGTAAAGGCGTCGTTTCTAGTTTTTTATCCAATCGCTACGTCAATTACACACAAAGTATAGATATTTACCCGCACGATCATCGCGAAGATGCTGCGACAATCACGTTATGAGTATACACCTGTATTTTTATTCCACTGCAAACTTTTATTTGTCTTTTTTTTTTTTAACTCTCGTTTCAACAACCGGATCCCCTTTGCGCGTATTGAAATAACAGCTCGTATGGGTGTCCCTCCGTAACTGCGTCGAGGAGTGCCCGTTGAAGGCGAGATCGAGAGACGCTCGGAAGTAAGTTTACACAATCTCGGCGGAATCTTGGGGCTCCACAAAGGGATGCCGACGAGCTTTGAAAGCCGAAGAAAGAGCGAAACTAATGGAATTCCAAGTTGATCTTCCACGCGAGGGGACACGTTGCAAAGATTACCGTGGCGCGTGTAAGCGCGGGGACGCTTCGCGAATTCGTGGAAACGAGAGAGTCGACGTGAGCGAGTCCGACATAGTCGCGAGAGCAGTTTGGGAATACGGGGAAGCTCGCGGGCCTCGGAACGAAAGCTCGATTGCTTCAACTTTTCATACTCGCAGCTTCAATTTTCCAAAGCGCGGTCTTTGCCGATACCGAGTTCACCCGAGGCTTCGAGAGGCGCGCGAGTTTCTTTCTTCGTCCGCGGTGGAAAAAACAAAAAAAACGACCATCTCTCACGATGTTAATCACCTCTGTTTTAGCTTTATCATCTAGTTATCGAGTATTCTTTTTAGCTGTAACGTAAGGACACTTTGATGTACCAGTACGTGAAAGATGGGATCGTCGTTTTTGTACATAGTATAAGTTACCCGCTAGTATAGTTAACCGTACACGTTCTCGCATTATACATACGATGGATATTTACATGTGTGTATATACAAACGAAGCCAAGAGAAAAAAAAAAAAAAAAAAAAGATGCCAGGATTACACACGCGTAAAGGTACAAAAATACGTGAGCGGAGAGAAGCCAAACAAGGTTGTGTCGGATGAGTTTCTCGACATGTGATGTACATATGCAAACATTAGTGACTCGAAGATGAAGTAGCGAAATAAAAATATATACATATTGAGGGACTTGAAAATCAAGGAATTATATATAATACTCGTTCGTCTGCAGTACGCGCGGTTCATCAATACATATCTTTGCCCCTCCAAGTGCACGGTACTTGATGGTTTCGATACGAAAATTGTGGAGTCCTAACTCCATCTAGCCGATATTGGATGTTGGTCGCAGTCGGTGCTTTGGATATAATGTAGGCGATCTGTCGCTGTCGTGGATGATTATTTTTTCGATTTTTTTAGTACACCACTGCGCGTCTGACCATAATCGATGATCTTCTACTTAAACGTACGTATAACGCACTCCTACATGTATTTCAATCATTGAATATTCAACAGATTAGTTCTACCCTATTCTTACTTTAACTTGTGATGAAAATTGGAAAAAAATTTATTAAAAATTCGCGTAAATTATTTTTATTTTTTAATTAATATTTTCATGTAATCGAGATTCTTTCAGGTATTTTTTTTTTTTTTTTTTTGCTCAGTGTTTTTTTCTCCGGTGTACAAAAATTTGAATAAAGTTGAGAAAAACGCTTTAATTGTAGCTGATAACCTGATGAGTAAAACCTTTGGATTACTTCTTAGAAAATCAATAACATCGACGACACAACGCAAATATATTCAAAGCTCCGAAAAGTGACGATAATTCAATTTTAAGGTAACACTGAAAGAACGAAAAAAAATTTATCTACTTTAACGATGATACGTTTGAGATCTTATAAATTTCAGAAAAAAAAAATTTTTTTCGAAGTTTCAGCTCGAATGTATCATCGAGTAACACAAAAAAATGGTCAGATAAATTCACAGACTTCGTATTGATGGGGGTTTTTTTTTCTTCTTTTATTACGTGCATTTTTAAACGTACACATTGCAGCAACCCAAGTTTTTCAACTTTTCTCTTTGTTACATATTATTTTCTACATAAATATGCTGTATATGTTTACATGATATTTATTTATATATATATATCGAGAGCTNTATACAGATATATATTTAGCCGAGCCGTAGCCCACAGATGCTGTCTCCACCGCTGCTTGCACTGCATCTGCGCTATATTGTACAGAGCACCTATAAATGTATAACTTTTTTTTTTTTTGTTTCCAAACTTTTTTCATACCATCTTCTACAATGTCCTTTTCAAACCTCAGATGTACATTTGTATAATATTTATCGATTTGGGCCAAATCGCAAGAACAAAAAAACTTAACCTTTGGAACATTAAACGCGTGTTTTGCCGAATTTTTTCTTCCACGGCGATACTTTTTATACGAGCCAACATTATTGAAATTCGCGCAACACGGTATCGGTTGTTTGAACCTCGTAAATTTGAAAAAGACGTTTTTCGGGCTCTAATGCGCTCCTCGCTCCAGTTTATCGGATGATGGGGGGGGAGGGGGGGTGGAGGAGGTGAGCTTTACAAGCGCGCGCGAGAACGAGCAAAAGAAAAGGAGTTTGCGTATATAAAAGTCGGGGGAAAAAAATGAGAGGAATTACGGGAAACGCGCGCGCGCGCATAAGATAAGCGCGGCCAAGTAGTAAATGAAGATAAAAGACTAAGGGGAGGTACTGTGATGTTCGTGTCCTAAAAAAACGCGCATTAGAGCGACCCGTTATATATGTATAGCGAAAACGAAAAAGAAACACAAATCTCTATTCTTTCTTTTTTTTGTTTCATTACTATTACTATTATTATGATATTACTATTATTATGTAATTATTTTCCTATCGATGGAGCACATAATGCTTGTGTATGTATATTTATATGTTGTGACTAGTTATTCGATATTATTACTATACATATACATATTATATTTATAATTATTACTTTTACTATTGTTATCAATATATATATATCACGAATACTCGTACAACCTTTTCTCTCAACTGCAGCGATTCGCTCTGCGATATATGTATGGTTTTTTTTTTAATTTTCGTCGGAAAATAAAGCGCTTGATACCAAAATATCTCGTATATACGATGAGCACGTACGCAATCGAAGCTGCATTGAAGAGAATGTCCATTTACCTTTTATTCCGCGCGGAAAAATTGATTATCAGCGATTCGCTGCAGTACTCGCTTTTTTTAATTATTATTATTATTATTATTTTTTTTTTACCGAACCGCGTGTGTATGTATCCGGTGCTTTTATTTATTTTTTTTTTTTTTGCTTCACCGCAGAGGTATACACGATAAATACCGGTGCTCTGTTCGCTTACCCGATGCAATCAATGACACCGAAAATTAGACCAATCGCCCCGAACTGGTTGAAAATCCAATGGGTTTTAAAAATAAATGTTCTCTTATATCTAGTAAGCGAGCAGTAACCTAAGGGCGAGCTCTCCGAGCTTTTTAACCCCAAAAAGCTCGGAAAGCTCAACCAAAGGGTCCGAGAACGCGGGTGTACGCAAAATTTATACAAAAAACTGCATGAACAAAATAAACAAAGAAAAGAAAAGAAAAAAAAAAAAAAAAAGTCAAGATCCCTGGTATGTATATAATCACAATGTACACGGGGAGAACAGAGGCAACCTGGAGGTGGTGCCGCGCAACGGGAACGGCGTGCCTAGGCCCATGAGCAGCATCGGCGGGAGCCTGGGCCGGGGAGCCCGGAGCTTGCACCCCCAGCAGTCCCTGCAGCACTCGCTCGCCCAGCCGGGCAGTAACACGATCGATCGGCGTCGCTGCAGCCTCAGGGTAACGTATACACACCTCATGCCTAAAGCGCCAATCATCTTTTCATCTCACGTTACGTTTTTCTTTTTTCTTTTTCTCCTCGCACTGTCGTGCATCGCTCGCTCCATCTTTCTCCACATCTCTCGTCGCATTCTTACAATACCTGTGTATTATTCATCACACGTTGCGCTTTCGATATTAAATTACATCACTGTCATGTTCGCATCGCTGTGTTGCACACTATCATTGTCACTGTTTAATTTAGGGATGGCCCCGTCTTGCTCGTATCGGGAAAATAAATTACCAACGAACCGTTTGCATATGACGAAGTGGTGACGCGCGATTGTACCGCAACGAGTATAGCAGAGAGGGAGGGAGAAACCAAACCGAAGCCTCTGTAAGCTCCCTCTTTGCCACTGGAATATCGTTCCTCTATGCACGAACATAATAATATACGTGGGCGACGCGTGTGCTAATTTTATAACGAGTTGCCGAGTGTCCCGCTTGGGACTTGTCATTTTTGCAAATACCAGAAGAAAGTTTCGGCACTGTTCTCTCGGAAGTCCCCTAAGGAGTCGAGGTATATATATAGGTACGTCGAGAACGAAGTTTGCGCTCGTCTCGCGCTCAATTCCGGAAGTCCCGTTTGAAAGCCAAGCAACGCACATTGGAAGAGAGAAGGGGGCTATTGAAATTTCCAACTCTTCGTGCGCGGGGATATTTTTTTTTATAACTGAACGTGGTTGTACTCTCGTGCGAAAAAATCGACAAAGGAACCGAAGTACGAATGCCCGTCGTATCCATAATATCCGGTGCCCCTCGTCGTATCACGTACCTGTATATATTGCACGCTTTTTATACATATCACACACATATCATAAAAATGCATGCTTGAGCTCGCATGGTTTTTCTCACTTTGCACGAAAGATTGATATTTCAGTCGACGTGTGGCACACTCGAGTTTCGAAATCGTACATTATGTGACTCGCTCGTATCGCTCTGTCACCTGTGAAAAATTTCATACATCTTTTGAGCTTATTACGATTACAACGATGTAGAAAAACTACTGTGTCTCACGTAAAGTAAAAATATTGTCGTCGCCGCTTTCGATATAATTAGGATAAATAGCTCGTGTTGAAGTGTTAAAGTGGATATGATCACGTAGAAAAGTGTGGCTTTGACGTGCTGTGAGCTGGGGACTAATTTTTTTTTTTTTTTTCTTTCTTGCCCAGAGCTTTCGAACGGTAAATTTAACGTTGTACCTATACCGAAAATTTTTTTCCTACTTAATTTCCAATTTAAATTCAGAGTACCAAGTCCGATTGATTTTTCAACGGCAAACGGAGCGTCCGAGAGTACCGTAGAGAAAAAACGTTGTGTGCATATATACATCAGTAATTCATGGCATTAATCACCGCCACTCGTTGTCATTACATTACATGTTCCCTCGAATTTTTCCAACAACTAGCGATGATGAATCATATCAAAACCAAATCCAGTGCTTCGTGTGATCGATAACGTGACCCGTTGAAGGGAACGAAAAATTTTATGTGATTACGCTGTGTACATCGCTATGTGTTTTTTTGATGAGGTTGAGAAAATTTTAATGATGTAAATGTGTGTATCTTTTGCAATTTTACAAAGTATTGCAAGAAGTCAATCAAAACGAGTGATGATATAGATAAATAAAGTGTAGAAAAAAAAAAAAATATATGAACAAGTCTTGAATTTGTTGAAATTTTATCAAAAGAGCTTCTAAATACTTCAAGACTGACGATACAGAGATATTAAAAGTAAAAGATATCGATTATACAGTAAAAAAAAAAAAAAAAAGGATGAGTAAAAGTACTCAAGAGCTTGAGGTCATAATATAAAGAGGAAAAAAATTTACTTATCTTTAACGTTTCGGTATGGCTTTAAAGTATTCATCCTTGTTTTGTTTAATGATAAGCAAAGAAGAAAAAAAAATCATCTCGATAGAGTCGTAACTTGTGTAAATAGTAGCCCTGCTGTCATGTGTAAAATGCCTCCCCTCCACTCGTCTCTTTTAGCAATTAATAATCACTTCTGATGCATAACACGCAAAAAAAATGATCAATATAGTATATAGATAAAAAGGGTCAATATTGCATTTTGATAAATAGTGATCGGACGCGTTTAGAGATTGTATTGAGCTCTATGAAATGTGAAAAAGAAAAAAGTCATGTAAATATATAATGTGATTTCAATGTGGACGAAGCCTGGAAGTTTTTTTTTTCCTCGTTTCGAATCTTCATCCATTTCTATATTTTTCTTAAGTGTATTTTTTATTTCACGGAGTAACAAGCTATATACGTGGTATATGGGAAATCGATATACTTTTGATGTTTTCTTTCACTTACTGATAATAATCTTCCATAAAATAAATATTATACCTTTCATCCAACTAATTCATAATTTACAAATCATTACCTTTAGTTTTTCCACTATCCACAATATCAACCAATCACAGATTCATTGTAGATATATGTATAATTTTTTTTTTTTTTCATCAAAATTTTTTTTTTTTTTAAATCAAGTTCAGTCAGCGTTATCGATTTATTTCCTCCCTTAATTTATTTCCACGCCCCATCCATACAAAGTACAGTTGTTTTTGTTTAAAATATTTTAGTTTGTAATTTTATAGAAAAATTGTTGGCAAAGGTTTTTTTCACGTAATATTTAGTTGTAACTTGATTGATTTTTATTTTCTTACTGCAATAATTCATAGTTTTGTAAAACGTATAGTCATGAATCGCATAGATTACTAACAATTTAGAATATGGTTTAGAGTAAATTGTTGATAACTTATTAACCGTTTTTTGTTGATTTAATATATTGGTAAAAGTATAAAAACACAAGAAAGTAAAGCGAACATTGTATATTCCAGCTTCAAGTGACACGGTAAATATAATATGCTCCCGTATCGATTGGTCGAAGCTTTAAACTTCCAATTGCCAAAGTTGTTTGGGTTCAACTGATCGATACACACGAATAATGAATAAATATTTGCACTGCTGAAAGCGCACGCATATCGCACAATCCAGTAAGAGAAAATTACGCAATTTCTTTTTTTTTTTGCCTTATCGCATTAATTTAATTGAACCTTTAATAGCTTCGATGACTCCGATATCGGTTTCATCAATCCAAATGTATAATTATCTCCGTTGGAGTTTCAATATTTGATCACGAAGCGTATAGGTAAAACCAAACCCAATAAATTTTCCAACGAGCATAAAAAAAGCGCCTATTTCCCAGCAGTGCAAATAACGAAAGGAGCGGGTGGGCGTAAAAGCTTTTCCCGCGCGCCCGCTTCCCCTTGACATCGACACCCCCCCCCCACTAGTACTCACGAAGCGGCAATTGCAGGGTTCCCTAAGCCGAGCCCTGGGTCTGCGGCCCCGGAGCGAGAAAGCCTCGCCCTCGTCGTCCTCGGACACAGGCAGCCTGGCCAGCCAGAGCCGGTACATGAGCAGCTTGCGCAGCAACTCGCCCCCACCGCCCCAACTGCCACCCCGTCCGGCCACGATATCCGGGAACACGAGGCGCCACCGCAGGGTCAAGAGCATCGGCGACATCGAGTACATGAGCAGCGTGGCCGTGAGCATGGTCTGACATCCGGAGCCCAGGGCCCACAAGAAGCCCCACTCCTCGGCCACGTCGCACCACCAACACCCCGGGCCCTACCGGAGCTTGAGCGAGCGGGGCTACTCCTCCTCCTCGTCCTACTACTCGTCCCACTACGGCTCGTACTCGGGTTACAGCAACATCGGGGCCGGGAGCGATTATTACCAGTACCACTCGCCCGGGGATGGCTACTACTCGCCCCAAATTTCCGACAGGCCTTTTCCCGGGGTACAGAGGTACGGCAGCCTCGCCGAGGAAGCTTGGCCGCCCCCCACCAAACAGGACCAACGCCCGGCTGACTACAACGATCGAATCATATAAGGGACGCCCCGATGTTTATACATATTACCATTATATTACTATAACCAATGCATCTGATGGCAATATTGTTTGGTACGTGTATAGATAGTTATTGTATGTCGGTATAGTCGGTTTTTTGTTTTTGTTTTTAGTCTAGGACAAATGATATGATTTATCGTATAGCTATGTGACGGTCGACGAGTTCATTGATAATAGTTTGTGCCGTTGAGAATATAATATGTCGATGAGGAATTTTCGAAAGACTGCCTTGGGAAGGTTGATGTTTGTTTATTAAAAAAAAGAGGCGAGGGGGAAGGGTTGCTATGAGGATTACAGGGAATAAGGTTTTTGCTAGATGAAAATAGATATTTTGATGAGATAATGAAATAAGACTAATACTTGGACGAAAAAACATAAGTTTACGAGTCGATAATATTAGAGCTGTATCTAAAGATATGATATTGTAAAAAAAAAAAAAAAAGGTCTTTGAGAGGAAATTACAAAGTTCATCCGATGTTGTGTCCAAGAGAGGTGGATTGGACAAACATTATTACGGCACTTACAAAAAAAAGTATGAAATTGTTGATAAATATTAAGTATAAATATTTCAAGTGACGGATACGCATGATTTTTAACCAGCTATTGGGAAATATTTGTGAGCAGAAATACATTTAATTGAGAACTACAAACTGATGTTGAGAAATTTTTAGTCAGACAAAAAAAGTCTCGTTTCTGTTTACTATTTGTCCATCGATAGTTGTAAAATGACAAAATACATTGTGATTGCTATTAGTTGGGAAATAATTAATGAGATATGGAATGAAAAATTTTTTAATAGTAATAGAAAATTGTTGATAAAATTATACGTCATAAGCAAAGTTATTTTAGACCGAATATAAGCATCTCGTTCGATTTTTCACACGTACAATGTGTAATAAGTATTGTGTATTACTAGCATTGATCTTCTTCCTATCGGTTTTTGTAGTATACTTCACGCAGCTGTTGAAGTTTTTACCAAAATTTAATTTATTTCTTTTTTACGCATTTTTATCTGCGACAATGAAAAAATTCGCAAAGTGAAACATATTACATGAGGGCAAAGAAAGCTTGAGCACTCGATGTTGCTTGACAAGTGAACGGATTGTGTATACTGGCTTTTGAATGTTAAAATAATAAATCAAAATCCACGCCTCAAACGGATTTGTCTCGTAATGAATAGCATAAAAATAATCTTAAATATTTATCAATGAATTTAATCGCACGAAAAAAATGCTGCCAGTTATAAATAAAACGAAAAACGTTACACAAAATGGATAAACTATATTTATTGCGCTCAAGTGACGATTCTCTCAACCGAAGTACTCCAATAAAGTGCTTCCAGAAGTTCATATTATACGCGTGTACAGGTATTATGTGCTGCATTCGGTTTTAAATTTTTTTCCAAAACTCAAGACTGCATTTCTACATTACAATGAACATCATTATTGCGAAATATTCATCACTTGTTTGCCGAAGCTTCCGTGAACAAAAGTGTAAAAATAAGAAATTGATGTTTATAATTGATTACCAATTTTACCACGTGAAATTTGCTAATGTCTATAGGGAATTATGAAAAAAATTGTATTTGATAAAAATAAAGGATAAAAAGAAAAGAAAAAAAATAACATGTACCTTTGTCGTCCAAACCATATCGCAAACAAAAGGCCCCAATAAAGAGAAAATATACAAACGTTTTTGCTCATTACGTCGTTTTACGCCGATTAAAACGACCGTTTTAATGCGCTCACGTAATGAAAATACACTGTGTATTTTCGCGTACCTACACCCAAGTATAATTTATCATAAGTCATGTATTTGTATATATAAATACATATTGCGTATAAATAAAAATATATTATGAATATATGATATACATATATATATATATACATACAGAAAGAATTGAATTATAAATATATTATATCAACTGTATCGCACAGAATGACGGAGTGACTACGTTGAATCGTTCAGTGGTGTGTGTGATGAACAGTAGAAGTGTTGAGTGTAATGAAAATAATTAAATAAATGCTTTTATTGTGAGAGATTAACGACCAAATGAGTGACGATAATGTGAATGTGTATTGATGAGGCACAATGTGTACATATATTCTATTTGCGCTGTGGATCATGAAAAAATAAATCGATTGCCTTGATTCTGTTACTTTTTTTTTTTTGTTCCAAAACTAAATAAATCCCACGCTTACCAAAGCACAACTTGAAATAACAATGTATTTTGTTTAAGATTTAAGTTCCAACTCATTGAGTATTGACCTTCCGTCAGTCCGGAGAAAATCATTGGGTTTCGTGAAAGTTTTTTTGGCACTTTTCGGAAAATTTTAGTGATTAATCCAAGTTGATTGTACTGCGTTGCACTTGCATATGATTCGCTCTTCAGATCTTTCGAGCTAATTTACTGTGTCAACTATCAACAAATTCCAAAATAAGTGGGTCCAACAAATTGAAATAATTGAGAATATAAAAACATCCGAATAATTTAAAAAAAAGAGTTGGCTGGTAAGATAGAAACTGTTGGGTAAAGAGATTACAGTGTTCACTTATCATACGTGGTAATGGGTTGTGTTTTGCGTTTTGCTCACCACGAGCGCTTCGAGCGTTTCGACAAAAGACACGTAGTCAATCCTCCGGTTGAATTAAAAAACGGAGCTTTCCAGTATCCACAACATAGCCACTTGTCGGGTCAGGGCACGCAGTGCTCAGTTTTTTAAAATTTACTAATTAAAATCAGATCAAAAGGTATAAACATGTCCGGCAAATCAAAGGCCTTTACGAAGGAAGAAGAGCTTTTGCTCCAGGATTTCTCTAGGAACGTGTCGACCAAGTCGTCTGCTCTGTTCTACGGCAATGCTCTCATTGTGTCGGCTATTCCCATCTGTAAGTCGATAATTTGTTGTTTTACTTGCTATTTTCATTATTTTTGTAGTTAAACCATTAACTTTTTTGTTCCCATGTGGTCTCCGTAAATTTTCGTCCCAAGATTCATTCAACTATACTGATTGACTAATTTTGAGTAGAGGTTAACTTTGATCCAGCTGTTTTTACTTTGAATACTCTATTAAAATTTTTTGATGCAAATATCGTTTTTTCCTACTTAAACGTGAATATTAAATGTTTACTTATGCAACAAATTTTTTTACCAGGGCTTTTCTGGAGGATTCACTTGATCGATGTTTACTCCAATTTGATTTCTTTTGTACTGGTGACCCTTGTCAGCACTTATGGTCTTGCTTTTGCATACAAAAATACAAAATACATATTGAAACATAAGGTATGTTGTAAAAGACTAGACAATTATTGAAACCATGTCATTGGTTATCAAAGAATAGTAGTTAAATTCGAAATTTGATTTACTTTTATACTTGTTCAAAGATTGCTGTCAAGAGAGAATATGCAGTTACCAGAGAGATGACAAGTAAACTTGCAGAGGACAAGAAAATGAGCCGCAAAGAAAAGGATGAGAGGTAAAACAATATACTCAATTGGATTATTTTGTAATTAATGTGAGTGCCAAAAATTTATAGTACTAACAGGGCAATCATTTGTTATTGTGATTTAATCAAATGGAGATATATCTCAATCACACTATTATGTGAACTACTAACACGTACATCGTTGAAGTGAATTCATAACAGCCTAGCTATTTGTACAGGCAAAAGTGAAATATGCATTTAGCTCTACTTACTGTTGCTTGTGCACTCATAAATCAATTTCATTGTTTTTTACTGATATTTATAGCTGTTCTAAATTTTGATTCATACAACGATATGATATTTCGGAAATTCGAATAAATTATTGTCTTCTATTTGGAAATTAGAAAATTGTTGCTTGTTTCTTTGTAGAATAGCGATTTAAGTGAAATGTGAAAAAAAGTTATTTTTAAAAATAGTTTTTCTTACACTAACGTTGTATTTATATAATATATTTCAATGTTGAATGAAAAAAAAAAAAATAAATAAATAAATCCTTATACTTAAATTTTCAGAATCTTGTGGAAAAAGAACGAGGTAGCCGACTACGAAGCCACCACCTTTTCCATCTTTTACAACAACGCCTTGTTCCTGGCTATCGTCATCATCTCCTCATTCTACATACTCAAGTCAATGACGCCAGCCGTCAACTACATATTTTCCGTCGGAACCGCGAGTGCCCTTCTCGCGCTGCTCTCGACGGGATCACAATAAGCTAAAAATGCCAACAAACATGCCTTTGAATGATATAATTCTCGCTCTCCCATTCCTTGAAGTTTTGTTGAGTAATTTTAACAAGACTCTGCTCGCTTGTGTTTTTTTTTTTTTAAACACCAGCGAATTTTTTATACCCGAGTACAATTAGGTGAGAAAATAAATGTATATTTATTATATAAGTACAACTGAACTTGTAGTACTGATTAAGCTCCTTCCCACTGAAAATATTTATAGACAACAAATAATCAAAGAGTGACTAATAACTTTATTATTGTTTCAAAGGTTCCAAATTTAAAGAACACAACAAAAATGTGTTACGAAGCGACATAAATACCTCTACTCCACCCCGTTGTATGTTCAGCCGTCAAAAGCAAGACGCAGTTGTAAGTGTTGTTAACCATACTGTAGCACATATGAATTAGAAAAAACCTAATCACTCAAATAATCAGCGGGGCAAATCTAACGCTCATTAGCGAGAGACACGCCAGTGGAAGATAGCAGAGGGGGGGAAGAGCCGCAAAAGCGAGCGCCTTCATTAAGAGCCGACAAAAACGTTTACGCGTGAAGCACACAATCGAAAGCTGGCAGAAAACCAGAAAAGCCTTTACGGCTCCTCCACCACCATCGCGTACAATGTATTTGTGGCGCAAAGCTCCCTAATAGCGCGTGTGTTGCTGCAGCTCGCCACGAGAGATGATTGACGGATTATTGTGATATTAAAGTTTATCTCTAGATAGAAGCAAACGAACGAGCAACCAAGCGAATCCCAGGAGCCTGCGAGCTAAATTAAAAGCGGAGCTTGCTTACGCTCCCTTTTTCTTTCTCCCGAGCAACCAACAGCGACTGCGATATTTCTTTGTGTCCGGCACAAGAGCTTGTATTATGTCCAAGGTCCGTGGCAAAAGCTACTAGCGCGCACGCGAATTTCACGCTGCAACGCACGAGCGATAAATCAAAATTTTGCACCCCTCCCACCCTCTGTAGAGCCCAAGATCTATCGGTGTATTAATTTCGGAGACGGGACTATTTCGAAAGCGGGAGGCTTTCCCCCCCCCCCGGCCACCCTGTCGTTCTTTTGCCGAGACCAGACACACAGGTACCTATACAAATGTGACGTTTTCATCGCTTTTGTCCGTGTACGTGTCCGTGTTCTTTCTACGTATGATTTGCGACACTTTTAATGCGTCGCTGTTTCAAGTTTGGTGGTGTTAATGAGCGCTATACGTGCTGTGCGTGGATTGCATTATGGGAGCAGGTGTCGCAGATCACCAAAGCATTCGGAATATGTTTTGGTTCCGGTAAAGCAGTACCAGATTGTTTTTCCCTCCGAAGACTACATTTTTTATTACTTTTATTTCATATTTTTCAGTTGAGATCGCGTTGTTAAAAAAAAAAAAAAAAAAAAAATACCTTTCAATTTTCGCGCGCAATTGTAGGACTTGCACAAAAGTAGAAGAGGTGAATACAAAAATATACGCATCCTTCGATCCCTAAATGATATGTTAATATTCCGCGATTATTATCCATTGCGCGACATCGGCTGGCAGAGTATATATACACTATATTTATAACATAACTCGCGTGTATGTAAACGCATGTAAGGTCACGAGCTCTTACAAGTGAAAATAGGGATTATTAACGATCAACACGACGACGCAACACCGATATTAATATCCGAGCACGGCTTTTCTGCCGATTCGAGGTTTGCTCTTTTACATATACTTATCCTCGTGTGTGCTCTCTTTCCTCATCATTATTTGCACTTGATCGCGTGTATACCCTATACCTCATGGATACGTCTCCCAAAAAATATATGATATACGGCGCCGGTCGATGTGTTTCCATATCGTTTTTTGACTAGCTGGAAAAGAACGCGAAAACTGGAGCGCCGTACGCGTGCGTAACAATATATAAGCGTGATATAATAATAATAATAATTATTATTATTATTAACGCGATAATTCGGTCTTTTTGATTTGTGGTGTTTACGTTGGCGCTCGCGAGGGCAGTACTTAGCGCAGTTTGCGTCAGGTGCAGGTTGAGCTCGATCGTAACGCCTTTTTCTCTCTCTCTCTCTCTCTCTCTCGTCTACTCTACGTGTACGTATAACACTATAACTTGGCTGTGAGTTTCGTGCTCCGAAAAACACTCTTTTTTATCCAAATGGCACTGGTGGTGTTAACTCGAGTTTTCACCGCAAACTTCAGTTTTATTGGCTCGCCGAGAAGTTGCGAAAAAAATTCAAAAATATCTCGTTGTTTTTGCAAACTTGAGATATAGATGCAATCGTGGCGGAAATTATTTATGTATATACTTTTTTAAAGAGCAGCTGTAAAAAAANAAAAAAAAAAAAAAAAAAAAAAAAAAAAAAAAAAAAAAAAAAAAAAAAAAAAAAAAAGAATTTCTTCACGTATTGCCAAACAATCCGTTACGAAGCAATTATCAAGTACCACATTCAGAGAAAAATGGTCGTACGGGGGATACTGGTAAAGAGCTGCTGCAAAATTGTCCCCATCCGAGCGTGTAATGTACACACAAAGTATATTTATAATTCGCGCATGTATATATAATATGTTGCAATCCCTTTCGCGGGCTAAGGCGAAAGAAACATTTACGGCGGCCGCGTGAGAGTTATCCGATCAAAAGCTCGCGAGGGAAGGGACGTCGAGGTAAACATACCGCGAAACCAGTCGAGCTTTACAGCCGATTTTTCATTGCGAGACCGGCAAACTTCTTACCCATGTTACCCTATACTCGCGGGCGCGCGCCTAAGTTTCTTTTTCTATTTCCGTACGTATACGTCCACCCTACTCTTGCACGCACCCACGCGTCCGCCACCCGCACCAAAGGTGTATGTATACATATATACCTACATACCTAAATACGATATGCTTTGTAGGTATGTATATACCGGTAAAAGCGCGTAACACACTTTTGCGCCTTTCCTCCTCCTCCTCCTCCTCCTCGTGTATTTCATTTCTCGCGCGCTTGGTGTTGTTTTACAAGACCAAGAGGGAGTTATGGATGAAGCGCGTTCGGGGAAAACGCACACGTGCGTCGCGTATATTAAGTGTTGCGCAAAACCACCCACACCCCCCCCCCTGCGCGTCTTTTTTTAATTCCGTTATTTTTCGAAATGCCGAGTACACGCAGCCTCCGAGAACGTCCATTGTTTATGAATACGTGTATACGTATATAACGCGGAGAGCCACCGTGTAGCTGTTCTCCGAAGCGCAGTTGGATCAAAAATAACAACTGGAGATCGGTGATGCAGCTTTTGTCCCGAGCGATATATTTCTGATGGCTCGATTCGCGTCGAAATAAATCACGAGGGTAATTCGTTAATTAACAAATACGTAGTCGATATCGTATAATTGAGCAATTGCTCCTGTGTGTATATGTGTCGGGTTGTTGTGCATGCCAAATTTTTGATAGTCTCGAAATCGTCGTTTTTCGGGAGAGCGCGCAATTAGCCCCCCGGAGCGTCCCTAACGAAAGGACGTAATTTATGCGGACCGGCGATAACAAATTTATGCTCTTCCCGGAATACCGTGATAAATACCGCGCGTAATTTGCGGAAATTCGTTCTCCTCGCCCCTGGTGTGCTTATTGTGACCGCGGCATGTAATGTTTTTGCTGCAAACACGGAAAACATTAATGATTGTTTTAGGACAAAAAAAAAATAATAATAATAATAATAATACATGTTTTCCACTTCTAGACAAGTAAACAATATCCTTCGTAATATTCGCACTAACAATTGCCAAATTGACGAAATATTTACCGAGTTAAAAATACGCGGAAATAATGAGTACCCTGTCGTATGTATATACACATGATTATTACGGGGACAAAGTATAGTTTTTTTACTTTGCTCTTTTCCCCTCTTGACTATTATTAATGGAAACGACAGTTATATTTGTCGCGTGATACTCGAACAGAGAGTTTTTTTAGAGTTTTTTTTTTTTTTTTTCCTCTCGCGCGCAAAAATATACCCCTCCCCGAGCTCGAGTCGAGCATATTTTCGGCTTTCTCCGGCCTCGTAGGAAAAAAAAGAAAAAAAAAAGAAAAAACACAGTTGGTCCAGCAAAGAGGCGCATACATTTACAAAGCTCCTGTCGAAAGTCGAAAAAGCGCGCAAAGAGAGCCTTCGTGTATACGCTCGTATAGCGCGCGCGGAGCAGCTACGCCCTCTCCTTTGGCGTCCGAGAATAGGACCGCGAGGAGGGTAGGGGGCAAGGGGTGGGTGGGCCTCTCCAGGGCGCGCAGCTCACCTGCTATTGGCTGGAGGCCGCACCCGCAACCGGCTATATCGCTGAGGCGCGGATATTACGAGCCCGCCGGCCGAGCCCTCGGCTCAGTACCAAGCGGCCGTCGCGAGCTCAGTCCGATCGCGCGAACGCCGCTGTGCGCAATTCCTTCCCCCCAACCGGTCTTTTTTTTTCCGATTCATCGTGGTGGTGTTGTTTTCTTTGTCGTCCCTTCCTTTGGTTGATACTCGGTTGACAAGTGACTGCGGGTGAACGTTTTTGCCGGTGTTTCGGGATCGGAGTTCGGACGAGGTTGTTGTATAGATTTCGGGACACAGGAAGAGGAAACTCTTTCAGCGTAGTCAGAGTATAGTAGTAAGACTTTAAGCAAAGCAGCCAAGATGGTATGTTCTATTGATGATAATATCGTAAGTCGTCGTCCCGGGTAAAGGATACACAGTTGCTTTTTTTCTTTTTTTTTTTTTTCTTCACACAATAACAGCGTGTTATTTTTATTTTTTTTTTTTTCTCTGTACTTTTCACTTTCTATATACCTCACAACTGCTGTACTCTTCTCTCTTAACACACATACTGTATATCACATACTCTCACGTGTTCTCTCTTTCACTTTGTTTTATTGCATCTACCGTTCGTTAATTCGCAACCCCATGGTTTTTTTTTTTTTTTAACTGAACTTTTTTTGATGGGATTATTTTTTACTCTTCTAACTCTGTGCGCGCCTTTCTCGCTCGCTCGCTCGCTCTCGTTGTTCTATTTTTAATCAGCCTGCCTTCTCAAGCGTGTTATTTTCTTTCTATTTTTTTTTTTTTTTTTTTTCTTTTTTTTTGGTAGCTCTCGCGCGCTGAAAAACTTTGACTTTACTTTTGGAAGTAATTTGTTTTTGTTGGAAAATTTTTGAGCTGCGTCGGTTGGTTTCTTTCTATCGGTGGCCGACGTGTTTGCCAATTACTTGTCTCGATAACAACGAGACGACACAGCGCATAAAAAAGTGCTTTAAAGTAAAGAAAAAGAATTTTTTTTTAGTACAATGCTAATACAAGTGTTTAACAGATCGTCGTTGACATGTTTTGAGTAATTGATTTTCAACAATTTTGTATCGAGTTGAGTTTTTTTTTTCTTTTTCTCGAAAATCCATACGGTACGCGGTAGTTTTACAACAATTTTCAAACAATTACATAGCAAAAGTACACAAACAGCGCATACACGGCGGGTACATCTTTTAACTTAGATTTTCGTCTCATTTGCGCGAAACAAATTATACAAACGCACAAATATATGATGATACTTCCCAGCCGACTCGACAAGCACTTCAGCCAGAATTAGTGTTTGTTTGTTTGACAGGGGACCCGACGACTATATAATTAGCTTAATTTTAATTCAATTGCGAATGCTTGATTAAATTTGTTTACGTACACACGAAACAATCATACGTGCCTTTTGAACAAACGTTTCGTGTGTGTTTTGCAACAATTAAAGTTATCCACGTAAATTGATTTGATCAATCATGAATTTATCAAATAATGGATCGATCGAAGGCAGCATGCTGAATTTGCATTATTCGACGCTCTCTGATTGGCTGTAAATGTTTCAAAAACAAAAGTTTGGTTTTTTTATTCTCATTCTTGCAAATACGTCTGACCAAGTGATCTACCTGTTCTACTTAAACTACGTATCTTCTATTTTCAAAATTTCTGTACATATATGTATATATACATACTGATGATTGATGAGCATGCACAATTCGCACATATATATTATATTTAACATTATTGAAAATTTGAAAAAAAAAAAAAAAAAAAAAAGAAAATGAATTAAACGTCTGCGGGTCAAAAGAAATGGTTACTAATGGATTTCTGTGCTTTTTGTTTCTTCTCTCCGCCTTCCCGATTTTTAGGCCGACGAGCTGCCGGCAGAACAGATCGCTGGTAAGACACTCACATGACCGTTGTAAACATAATTACTTGGTGATTGCATAATTGTCACTTTATGCCTCCAAAACGACCCGACATAAAACCAACTAAATTTCAACAGAACAGTCGGGGACGCGAGAGCCGTATGGGGATAAACAAACGCTTTGGATACAATATTTGGCGATCGGTCAAGCGCAACGACCGAACCATCCGATTTTTTTATTATAAAAAAAAAAAAAAAAAACTACAACTCGGATAAACACCACCGAATCCGATACAACTTATACGATCGGTCTCTCTCTCTCTCTGTCACTTTCTCTATATTTAGCGTCTCGTTTCCATATCGATGTGCTACACATGTGTGTGCACACGGGAAGGGGGAGAGGGGGGTGAGCGCGTTAAGCGCACGAATCGAAAATAGGCCGGCCCAATGATAAATCAACGAAATTCATAAGGCGTTAAATTAAAGCGGGACCCAGATTTTCTCGGTCGTCCAACGACCAAGGGAGTTATAACTGCACGTGCGCATAGGGGACAAATACATTGACGTTGTAATAATCATGAAACAATTGACGGGGGGGGGGGGCACTCGTATCAGCGGATCGTCAACCGGAAATTTTGACAGTCGACTCCGTGCCCCCCTTTCCCTCCCCCTCGATGGTGGACAGATAGAGCGTGGATCCGTGAAATCTGAAAAGCACTCGGCTTGAGAAGCGGGTCAACCCTTCGTTTTGCCGCAAGCCTCTCTCGGAGCCGAGGAGCGTTAGATAGAGCGCGTACCTACAACCAAGTGTAGTATACATACATGTGTGGAAAAAGAGAGAGGGGCGAGGGGTTAACACACTAAATTTAGCGAATCTCTCTCCATTCCACAGCCGGCGTCTGTAGAGCGCGCGAACCCCATTTACTTACTTACTCTTGCTCGTCGTCGTCGTCGTGTTCCGGAAGACAGAGCGAGAGAAAGAAACACACGCGGCCTATAGAGCGCTCGGTTACTATCTTTAGTCCTTCGAGACGCCGAGAGAAGACGCTCTTTTCTTCCTTCCTCCCCCCGAACGCGCGCGCCTCGTGTGCAATGTATATACCTGTACGGTCACGCGCGAGAACGTTGTTTGCGTGTGGGTTTTTTTTTTTTTTTTTTTTTTTTTTTTCATGTTCAGATTCCCAGGGCTAATAGAAACCTTCCTCCCCTCCTCCTGCACCTTGTCTCTCTTTTTTTTTTTTTTTTGTCAAACTCAGCTGGGACCGGTGCTCGTCAAGCTGGCAATTTATAGATCGGGAAACCGCTGATGCCGATCTGACGCCGGAAAAGCCGGCCTCGTTCGGTAAACCGGGGAACGGGGGAGCTCGTGCGGTATACGCGTACCGTATTTTCGGCCGATCGGGAGATCATAGCGTCTCGAAGACGAGCCTGTGTATGTATTTTTTTTTTTTTTTTTTTTATTTCCTTGATTCGACCTCGTTTTACCGATCTGCTCTGACCGTCAAAACTTTGCTTTACATATACATCAACCCGTGGGATCGGCTTTTGCAAAATCCTCGGTTACGAATATAGAAGCAAGCGCGCGATCGAGAGACCCCGTTTTTTCTCCTTGTTTTACGATCCGTCCAGCGTATAGGAACAATAAATCCGGCCGTATTTTTAGACGATCGCCACAATGGGAGCTTATATTCTTCTTCCTACGTGCGGGCCGCGGGAATCGAAACCAGTTGGATTTCTTCAAAAATATCTCGGGGCGGAAAGGCGGGCCGGCAACCCCCCCCCCTCCCCTCCTTTCTCCGCTCGATCATTGATAAAACGCTATACCCTTGCCCTATTTTCGAAACCGTACAGCTGACCACTCGACCAAACTGCTGTATACACCGGCTCACGTTATACATCTCCCGGTGATGATCTTACATCTGTGGCGGGCGTCCGTTCCCTCGTTGCAAACTAAAAATAAGCACTTATCGGAGCTTTGATTTCGGACGCGAAAATAAACAAGCGCTTTTCGATTTTTTTCCTCCCCCCCTCCCCTATCCCTGTCGCGCTCTGCGTGTAACCCAATCCTGAGGATTTACTGTAAAAAGCAAGCCGAGAGAGAATTGGTATATACGTATACCACCGAGGGGAGGGGGGGACCAAAAAAAGTACAAAAATACACGCCCGGCAAAAGGCGCTCTCGAAATAAAACATAATCGGCTGTGCAACACGCGTATGCGTATATACATGTAATAGGGACATCAGAGCCAAAGCGAGGGAACAACGAGCCAAGAAGAATATAATGTATATTAATGCCGAGTCCACCCGCGCTGTGTTTTCGCGGGGTCTTTATCTCGCTGTGTAGCGGTGTGGTCCACGACGACAACGGAATAGACCCGGGGCCCTCGCTTCGGCCACGCGCCTAAGTATAGCGGCACGGAGACACACTCTCGCGTGTTTTTCACACATGCGCTTGACAATACTCCCACGCGCTGTGTATAGATAATGACGCCGCGAGTACGACTCGGCGTATCTTTCGAGAACCGGAAAAAACATCTTTTTTTCTTTTCTTTTTTTTTTTTTTTTTTTCTTCCACTCCCAAAGCCCGAAATGACACTCGAAGCGTGAAAATAGACGCGACAGCGATTATTTGGGAATCCGTCGACTGTTTTTTTTTTTTTTTCTTTTCGGAGATATAAACAGATCAAACGCGGCGTCTGACCAAACGTCGACTTTGACTACTGAACCGGCAGGGTATATAGTAAAGCTCTCACGTGCTAGGTCGCAAGTTTTATTTTTTTTTTTTTTCACAAGAAAATGTGATAACCGATGGCGCGAGCGCGCTTTTTTGTTTTTCGCCCGTGAAACGGCCAATATGAATAACGAGAGCCAAGAGAGATGCACAACCGAGCGATTGAACGGAGAAAAAGATGAAGGCAGCTTGCGTATAGCGTGTGGGAAAGGGAGCCGCCGGCCCCAGCCAAATAAGCTTCGCGCCAGAAATCTCTCCGCGCGCCCGTGAGCGTTTATATATTTATATACGTATATGTATGCGCGGGTATACGTATATACTTAGTACAGGAGCAAAGAGAGAAGGGCATTAACATTGGATCTAAATTCGACACGGCGCGCGATGTCTTGCAGCGCCGGCACATATATATATAAGTATATACCCTTACCTCTTTCTCTCAAAGCTACGATTTAGCGTTCGACATGAAAATTCACGCCATCTCCTGTTTCCCAGCCATTCATGCGACGTCTCCAATGCCATGTTATACTTTCGTTACCGTAGCTCCCTTTGAGGGGCGTCGAGGTAAAAATAAAAGCGAGACATGAATTGTGCAATAATGCAATCACAGAACGGGGATGGGGGGGGGGTGAGGGAAATCCCGAGTTTGACGAATTCCTTCGATTGCCGTAGTCCTGCGCAAGGCCTTCGACAGCTTCGATAGGGACAAGAGCGGCAGCATCCCCACCGACATGGTCGCCGACATTCTCCGGCTGATGGGTCAGCCTTTCAACAAAAAAATCCTCGACGAGCTCATCGAGGAGGTCGACGCCGACAGTAAGCTATACAACGGGCTCTGCACCTATACGATTTTTAATATTAATTTTCTTCAATTTGTGCACAAATATGATGGTGTAGCCCCGTTAATTTGGGTGTGATTTAAATTACTCGGCAAATAATGTCATTATAATTGAAGCGATTTCGGTGGTTATTAAGTGGAGCCTCTTGTCCGCGATTATGATCAATTCGACGTTTTGCCACACAGAATCTGGCTTTCTCGAGTTCGACGAGTTCGTGACGCTTGCTGCCAAATTCATCGTCGAGGAGGACGCCGAGGCTCTTGAGAAGGAGCTTCGCGAAGCCTTCAGGCTTTACGACAAAGAAGGTATGATACCCTAAAATTTTTAAGTGTACTATAAATGTATATTTTAGATCGGATCTCGAGCGAGAAAAAAAAAAAAATAACGTCGTCTAGTGCGATTTGAACTCAGAATTTCTGAGACACATCAGATTCTGGTTAACGTCTTTTTTGCTTTTTGTACGGAGCTATTTGTTTTCATATCGAACATTGATTTTTAAAGCTCTATGTGTAACGATTGCCATACCTGAGATGATGTACTCATTTTAGAGACTATTTTCTGAACAACATTTAATTTTTAATTTATTAAAATCGGGTGGAAACTAAAAATAAATTTGTTATTTTAATTAATGTAATCGTTACGATAATGTGTGTAGGTAACGGATACATCCCAACAACGTGCCTGCGCGAGATCCTGAGAGAACTCGACGATCAGCTCACGGACGAGGAACTCGATATTATGATCGAAGAGATTGATTCCGATGGCTCTGGCACCGTCGATTTCGATGGCAAGTATACGATCATTAAATTGCAACTATATAACGACTGTAGCACATTTTTTATACAAAACGACAGTTGCAACCGTTCCTTTCACGATTGACAATTCCACTAATCGTTTGTAGGTTGTTTGTATAGGTCATTAAAAAATAAAGGGACAAACGATATCAGGTACATGGAAGTCTATTTCCATGAAAAACCGTAATTTCATTGGATACGTCATCTTACGATCAATATAAATCTCAGTTGTAAAAAAAAAAAAAAAAATTGATACGCATTTCATTCGAATCACGAATGTTGGTTTTGTGTAGTATACAACGTATCTGCTAGATAGAGAGTTTTGTGAATGAAATTTCATTACTATATATATTATATATCTGAAAAGATTCACTTCGCAACAGAGGAAAGGCTGTCGCGATTTTTACACGATTGTCATCTCCGTAACGAATAATTATCTTTAACTTAGTGGCTTGTTCGACCTGCCGACTCCGAAAACGCCCGACGTGTCCGATGACTTTTTTAGCATCGTACGTTAATTTGAACTGAGTTTTCTTAGCGTCGGGGTTCATCGACCAATTAAGGATTTCGAGCGAGTGCATCAAGCAAACCATTCTGACAAGTTCATTCACATCTTTGCTAGACTCAACGAACCTGCCCGTTACTGGCTTTTTGATTTTTTTATTGGGATCCGACTCTGCCTTTCTCTGCTTTTCGATTAATTTCTGAAAATCGAGCTTTAATTGTCGACTATGCTTGGAAACGTGTTCGTCCATTGAAATATCAAACGTGGGACAACAACATTTTATCAAGTAGCACAGAACCATTGTTTTGCATTCCTTATATTATTATGTTCTTAACTTGAAATTATTGTACAACCAAATCGCAAGAAGAGGTAAATCGAGAAGACGAAGTTGTGGTGTACCATATAACACTTAATGTTTGTCGGAAGAGCGACAACTGCTTTTTTTTGCAATTTTCGGACTTTGGCGAAAGCGTCGGTTTTTGCAAGCAACATTCACTCCTCGCCCGATCGACGTAGATGTGCTTCTAGATCGCGAGAGTGCGAGTTTCATTCGCAAATCGGGATTTCTCGACTTCACTATATTATGCGAATAATGTATTGTAGAAGTAAAGAGCTCGAAAGTAATTGTTTGAAAAATTGATGAAAAAACGTCCCTGGCCGCAGGTCTTGAACTCGGATCGTGGGCACATCAGCCAAATGTTTTACCAACTCACCTATCGCGGCGGGCCGGATAAGTTTTTAATTTGTTGTATTTATCGTGAAAAGGGCTTCTGGCGAGTGGTGGCTTCAGCTCTCGACATCTAACATTTATTGTTCGAACTAATGTTTGCGGTTAAATTTTATTTATCGGGATCGCTAAATCAACGACCCAATTGGTTTTTTGTAGGTATAGTATTCGATGAAAAAAAAAAAAAATTTCCTCGAGCGATATGCCCATAGAATATGTGCACTGGCCGTAGCTTAATTCTCAAATCGCAGAAATTCAAATGCGTGAAATTATTCATCGCATCAAAACACGAGAGACAACCGTAATCATAAAATAAAAATACAGCTATCACATAAACGACCATTGAACAAATTTATCAACGTTTTTTATATTTTTTATGAACAATTTCAAAATTCGTAACTCGCATACATGGGAAACTGGAGATTGTGATAGGAATTTTGCGTCATACTACGGCTAAACGAACTAATCCAAGGGACATTTGTCAGATCCCTTAAAAAAAAGTGAATTAGCAGTTTGGCCATATTTTCTAATGGCTAATATGTAAGATATTAGACAAAAATGAACATATTACATAAATATATATTTGTTCGATGGAAAGGGGGATAATTTTTTTTCAACTATAGCTTTAAATAATTACATTTTATTAGATTTCGCATCGGAGTCTGAAAAAATGAGTAGGCAGCGAAAAATGTCGATTGCACCGAATCATGTAATCAAAAGTTAATCGTACCTCGTTTCAACATGAGTCGCATCAAGTCTCAATCGATTCTTTGACAATCCACTAATTTTCGTCAAAATGTCATTTAAAAGTTTTAATTTAACTTGAGCAGAATCCTTTAAAAACTTTAAAATAATGGCTCGCTTTATTTATGTTACAGAATTCATGGAAATGATGACTGGGGAATAATAATAATAATAATAATAATAATTCATCGTCAAATAGCTGCTACGACGATTTATTCCACAGCGAGCTGGGGATGAAGAATCTGCTACCAAAAGCTACATAATATATAAAGAAAAATCAAAGCTCATCAAACAGCTAATCAATAAAAAAAAAAAATATATATATATATATGTATACAAACGTATATCACGTAACCGAAGAGGCGCGCATAAAATTCGTACCTCCTTACAATCTACCTTTAAGCGCTTTCGACACACACACACACACACACACACGCTTGCAAACCAATACATGTACCCACATATGTATGTATGTATAATTGACACACGTACAAGTATACCCACACACCATGACCGCCAGCAGTTTCTAATTTTACAATCCGTCTCGACGCCGAGAGCCGCCTCGACTTTCTCAGCACTTTCGGCTGCTTCACTGTGTACAGCTCAATCATAAACGTGCTATCGAGCGAAAATCATAATAAGAAAGAACAAAAAAATACCCAACATTGTAAATTACATTATTTTGAAAAGGAAAAAAAAAAAAAAAAAAGGAAAAAAGAAAAACATTTTAACTTGCGCAGTGTCTGCAAAATTTCTCTTTTTTTTCATAGACAGTATTTTATTGTTATTAATAAAAGTCTGTAAAAAGCATACCACGCCGTTTTTCTTTTTACGAGATACACATATACGCATCGTCACATACAGGCATTTATCATTTTCATTTGCATGAAAAAGAGAGATGGAATACAATTATATTGTGTAAATCACAATCTGTGTGTTACGCATGTACATTAAGAACGATCATTGTTAAACAAAATGAATGCAAAAATTCAAGTTGAAACAATAAATTATTTACGTATGAATGTAATACATTTTTTTAATGTGTAATGGCTCAGGAATTTAAGGAAAAAAAAAAAAAAACAGTTTGACATTTTTTTCTAGACTCTTTATTAGTCCAACATTTCAGTTAAAGATCACAATGGTTCAAGAATTTATTTTAAAATAGTTGCAAACTTAACGTGTTCAACGTCTCATTATTATACGATTACTCGATTTTTCAATGTATAGTAATAAATCTATCTACGCAAGCGTAAAACTCTGTACTACAGAGATGAGACTAGACAGAATTTTTGAGTTATGTGCTCGCCAGAATTAAATGATGAAGCCACTTTAAAGTTGTAGAAAATCACAGGTATGGGTAATGAAATTCTTTATTATCATTTAATTTTTTTTCTTTCTTTCTTCCTCAAGAAAAGTCATAAAAATCATGGCGTTATTCAGATAAGGTAATGCGACGGCTTTTTATTAATCATCAATTAAAACCAATGAACATATATAATGATACGCTTTCTACGTATTTTCATTTTATTCATGTAAAATTGTAAAAAAATAAATATTAAAACAAACTTGTATGACATCATATCACAGAAATAGACTTTTCTGAACTTTAAAGTGTCTCTATATTAAAAATCTCATAAGCAACAATTATATTCACTTACAGAGTAATTGAATTAATATTTTTCAATTAAATCACAATTTTTTCTGGTCCTCTACTTATTAGGAATGGAACATATGTTATTGTGTTAGATTTCCGTTCGTTATTTACAGTAATTTTTTTTTCTTTGAAATTAAGAATGGATTTACTTGCCCTACAGACAGAAAAATCCTTTTTTTTCGCTCATTTCATCGAACCAAAGGTTTACAGAGGAGCATAGACCAAAAAATATTTATTAAAATCACTTTTAAAACTTTCTTTGGATCGGATAGCAGACGCGTGTGCGTTCGTTTAAACAATTTCGTGCGGCATTTATATCGTCTTTGCAAAGAGTGTCACTTCGACTTATCAGACGTTGTTTTGTGCTTCTTCTTTACGATGCGATTCTTAGGTACTTTCTTCCATGTTTTCTTCGACACTTTTTTTTCTATCTTCCTCGCCCAGGCTAGGCGGGGACGAAGGTCACATCTTAAACAAGTGTGGAAATTCGTTACTGATCTCGCGAACCAAGTCCTGATCCTCGTGGCTTTCTGGCATCTCTTCACAAAATATTCTGGAATAATTCATTTTAGGGTAAATACATCGGTTTTCGTGTCTAAAAAATATTACGCGTATAATTTATACTTTTTGTAAGTCACCTTGTGAAACATTTTAAAACATCTTCGCACCGATGTCGATGCTCATCATAATTTGCCGTTTTTAATACCCTACGACACAGTTCCAGATATTGTCTTCTTTTATCACCGGGAGATATGTCAAACAGTTGTCGTAAAATAATGTCGATTAAAATTTTGATGTCATTAGTATAAAAAAGAGAAGCTGTTTCATCGCTGGTAAATAGGTCAATGAAAAGTTTTAGTATTGAATTGGGTGGGGCGGGTTCGTGGTCGAATATCCTAACTGGGTCAACTGGAAAATAATTTAATTTAAAGTTACGCTTTACAATTTGTATTCGAGCGGTAACTGTTGATTTATTTACCTTCCCGATTGAGAAGAAATAAAATTTTCTCAGTAAATGTTTTGGCTACCGAACGTTGTTTCAATGCATCCAACACAACATTCTCCATGTTACGATGGAATTGTAGATTGTAAGATAGAATGAGATTTATAAATAAATCGGGAATTTGATCTTCCAAATCGGTGTCTGGGGGATTTTCAATAAGATCCAAGAGAAATGTAACAAACTCCGTACCTAGTTGTTCTAGAAAATTTTGTTTTCAAATTATATGACTGATTATTTATGAAATGATTTATTTATTCATACCAAAATGTGTTATTGGCATTGGTTCCCCCATTGAAAAAATCATCGTTAATAGTAAGGCCGAGTAATTAAGTTTTGTAACGTTCCTGGAGTTACTTTTCATGTCTCTGTATCATAAAATATCGCATTTGTAGATACACTTCGAAAGTATATCGTTAGTATCAAATAATTACCTTGCAAGTTCCATTGGCAAAATGCTTTCTAGCATAATTGTGACTATAACAGGATCCAAAGTACACATGACTCCAAAAGATTGCAATAAAAGTTGCCTAATTGTCCATCTTGTCTCCATTTGATAATATTGGATGAGAGTGTCTACTCCATCATAATGATCTTGTCTTAAAACATGTCTTGATACACGTGCATCCGCATTTGTCTATAAAAATTTCAAAAATTTGGATATTTTATTATTGAATGAAAAGTTGTGTGATTAAAAAAACGTACTAAAATTGAAGTAAGCTCTTTTATGTGTTCACAAATAGTAGGTTCATCCTCATGCAGCATCCAGCTCCTCTGCTGTGAATCTTCTTTACAAGAAGTTAACTCCGTAAAAATAATTTTCAATCTATTGGCATCGTAAGTTTCTTCAAGGTTCAATTTCGTTAAGCTTAATGGCACTTGCAATTGAGATAGAATAGCATCGAAATAATGGCTTAATGTTTGTGGCAATATGTCCTGAAGCCCATTCAAGACTATTGTAACAGCTACTTTGGACATTTCGTAACTGAGATGGGTACTTTGGCGTACTTGATCCAAAAGCATGTAAGCTGTTTTTGGATTGATTTCCGCTAAACTCGAGGATCGGCTTTTCACTGGTGATTGATTCGGAGAATCGTGGACACTATTTTGAGAACCATTTTTATGATTTTCTTGTTTTTGACTAGAACTAGAGTATCTCCTTTGAGTGTCTTCAGACTAAAACAAAATTCTGATGTAAACAACAGAAATCACAATAGTGAAATATTTTTTTAAAAATTCAATTTTTTTTAATTGATTACCCTATTTTGAGATTCTAACGGAGTAACTGATTGCCTTCTATGATCGCTCACTGAATTTTTTCTTGATGTATTATTAACTGGAGATCTATTATCTTCAGCATTATTAAAACTAGCAGGAGTTTCTTTGATTGGTGTCGTACTACCAAAATCAGGTGGTAATGGAGCTTGCTTTTTCGTTTTTCTTCCTAATTCGGCCTGACGTTTTTTTTCCACCAAGCATAACAGCAAATCCTGCTTATCAATGTTGGGTGAAACATTAGGCTTGTCCCCATTGGTCCTCAAAGTCTCTATAGCTTCATCAAGAAAGTCTAACAAAAACTGAGGATTTACTTTGATTGTAGTAACATAGTTGGATGGTATGTATCCAACTTGGCCTTTCTTGTTCACCACTTGCCACCAATTCCTTTGTTTTGTATGGCTTTGATAAAGTACAAAATGGTCATTTTCATGGAAGCTCATGGTTTTGGCAAATGTTGCATTAAAATCATAGAGTGCTTTAAGCATCTCATAATTTTCTGAAAAATGCATATAACTTATTTTAATTTAATTATCGTTTTCTAAAACTGCTCATGGTTGTACTATACTTTATAATAATGTAAAATAATTAAATTATACAAGACACGCAATAAATGATATTTAAAAAATTTCTTTAACATTCAAAACTTGCAAACATCTGCAAGAATAAAAGAAAAAATAATGTTAGTATTCAAAAACTGCACTTACAAAAAAAAAAAAAAAAAAAAAAAAATAGGATTTAAATTAATAAACACAAAATTACTCTTTCGTCTTTTAACTACTGGCAACTCCGTCATGGCACGTTTACTGAAAACTCCAACTTCCTCTCAAACGTTAAATTCACTAAACAATTAACTCCGGTAATATGTTAATCAAACCCGAAAACGCACATCATGCAGATAAATAAAAACAACAGCACAGCAGACGGCGGACATGCGCCTCTGATCGTCCTATAATAAAATAACTTCCCGAGATCCAGCGACCCACTGGCACCGTATACGTTGTCTCTGCGCTTTACTACCTCCCGTTTTTAAAACGAACCCCCGAATTTTTACGTAACAGCAGATAACACATGACGTTCTCTCGTGACGTTGAATCACGTGACGGCGTGTGTCCCCTTCGGCAGAATTAAAAAAGAAAAATATATCAAAAAGGGATTCAGCGCTTTTTGGAAAAAAATAAAAATAAAATAAAAGAACGAAGCTGCAGTAATAGGTGCAGCGTGTGAGAGAGTGGATAAACGCGCTCGCAGCAGTAATGCTGCAAGTATTACGTGTACTTATATGTCTAACTCAGAAATACGTCACTGCGGTGAAGGCTATTGCCGAGAGTTGAAAGTTGTGAGAGGGAGAGGACAAGGACGAGCCGCCAAATAAATATATACAAACCCCTTCTCGTTCCACCCCCTGTAACCCCTTCTCTCTGCAAATGTGTAGAGTGCATGTACATCAGTATATTAATCTGCAATGCATCACATGCATTGTTAAAACTTTAAACGGTGCCAAAGTACATTTAAAAAAAATTGTTTGATGCTCCAATAATAGGGATATAACTGCACACTGTACTCACCTAACCTAATGTAATTGCCGCTATTACAGCTCATCCTGCTGATTTCTTTATTCTAAATATTGTATCTCCAAACGTTAACTCTGTATTGGTGTTGTTATGGACAACGCCCTTGTACGCTGCTACCACTGCAGTTGTTGATAAATGCAAAAGGCTGCGGTTGTTGCGAGTCCGCCTACCTGCACCGCTGTCCTGTTCACTTTCATTCTATCGTCACTGTACCTATAGGTGCTTATAATCTCCTTTTTTTTTTATTAAAAGTGACCGGTTCACATCTATACAAGCACACAAGCGAGGTCACCCGTGTACGAATAATAAAGGCCTACCTAATATAATACTGTATGATAATAATAAGTGTCAGGAGAGATTGGGTGGCGAGCGAGAGCTGAAACCGGCCGGATACTCTTTTTTTTTTCACGTCATTCCTTCGCGATACGTATATCGTTTGATTTATTCGTGGTTTATTTTTTATTAATGGTATCAATACCAAGGTGTGGTCGACGAATTCAATGTTTATAAGTACATGTCACACGCGCGATATCCATACACCTCCCAGTTACTGAACATATATATATATACATTTCACGTCACTGCATGTTTATGGTATTAAATGAAATGCCGTCTGCTATGTTTTGCTTCAAATTGTATACAAAATTTGTTTTTATTTACCGACTGGCAGGTGTATTGCGTGCGTATATGGACTGTGTACTACAGTAGGTCAATGAACTCGCGTCTATGCATACAATGCAGTATATACGATATATTATGTGTATAATACACAATATTATACTTTTAACTTTAATTATTTGTTGCAAATTGAATTGGTATTTCAAGATACCTCCACACAAATATATTTATGTAACAATAAACTAGTACGATTGAAGTTAACATAAGTAGACAATAGGTGATGTTCAATAATTTAATTAGAAGGGATCCTTAATTGTCTTATCACAGTCAATGTCGTCAGTCGCTCAAATCGGTTAATAATGATTTATCGATGTGTTGTCGAGTGATCTATTCAGCTCATGCATGAATAAAATATAAGTATATATCAATTTACAGAAATCCACCAAATACGTTTATTATCCATAAATTTTTTATAAAATAAGTTTTGTCAAATGTGCACGAGCATGAAAAATTTTTATTTTTCAATATACCTTACTGGATCTAATATAATATTTTTGGGAATTTGATAACGTTGTTCGAGTGTATTACTGCACAATACTTAACTCTTATCTTTGTTAGAACTTTTCAAATTTTTAAGTGTACAAAAAAACTTGTTTAAAATTATTTCATTTACAGCACACGAACACCAAAACTACACAATTGCAATACATTCAGGGTCTGCAAAATTTGATATCCTATTTTCTTATTGGTTAATCACATGATATAACCTTTCTTATTTGTGGATTTTAAACACCGCGGGTCATGAACTAAATATAGTTCTGGAGGGTTGGTATATGACAGTTGAAGACGCCAAAGCTCCGAGAGAGATTAGATTAGATTAGATTTTTATTTAATAGCTATAAGGACTCAGGGTCCATAATAGCCAGAGCTAGGTACCTACAAGCTGACATAGGTTAGAGCAGGTAGCGCTCTAATACATAAAATTGCTTATAACTTAAATATATATAATATAAAGAATAAATACTGTCTCTATAGCTTCATCAAGAAAGTCTAACAAAAACTGAGGATTTACTTTGATTGTAGTAACTTAAGAACGATCATTGTTAAACAAAATGAATGCAAAAATTCAAGTTGAAACAATAAATTATTTACGTATGAATGTAATACATTTTTTTAATGTGTAATGGCTCAGGAATTTAAGGAAAAAAAAAAAAAACAGTTTGACATTTTTTTCTAGACTCTTTATTAGTCCAACATTTCAGTTAAAGATCACAATGGTTCAAGAATTTATTTTAAAATAGTTGCAAACTTAACGTGTTCAACGTCTCATTATTATACGATTACTCGATTTTTCAATGTATAGTAATAAATCTATCTACGCAAGCGTAAAACTCTGTACTACAGAGATGAGACTAGACAGAATTTTTGAGTTATGTGCTCGCCAGAATTAAATGATGAAGCCACTTTAAAGTTGTAGAAAATCACAGGTATGGGTAATGAAATTCTTTATTATCATTTAATTTTTTTTCTTTCTTTCTTCCTCAAGAAAAGTCATAAAAATCATGGCGTTATTCAGATAAGGTAATGCGACGGCTTTTTATTAATCATCAATTAAAACCAATGAACATATATAATGATACGCTTTCTACGTATTTTCATTTTATTCATGTAAAATTGTAAAAAAATAAATATTAAAACAAACTTGTATGACATCATATCACAGAAATAGACTTTTCTGAACTTTAAAGTGTCTCTATATTAAAAATCTCATAAGCAACAATTATATTCACTTACAGAGTAATTGAATTAATATTTTTCAATTAAATCACAATTTTTTCTGGTCCTCTACTTATTAGGAATGGAACATATGTTATTGTGTTAGATTTCCGTTCGTTATTTACAGTAATTTTTTTTTCTTTGAAATTAAGAATGGATTTACTTGCCCTACAGACAGAAAAATCCTTTTTTTTCGCTCATTTCATCGAACCAAAGGTTTACAGAGGAGCATAGACCAAAAAATATTTATTAAAATCACTTTTAAAACTTTCTTTGGATCGGATAGCAGACGCGTGTGCGTTCGTTTAAACAATTTCGTGCGGCATTTATATCGTCTTTGCAAAGAGTGTCACTTCGACTTATCAGACGTTGTTTTGTGCTTCTTCTTTACGATGCGATTCTTAGGTACTTTCTTCCATGTTTTCTTCGACACTTTTTTTTCTATCTTCCTCGCCCAGGCTAGGCGGGGACGAAGGTCACATCTTAAACAAGTGTGGAAATTCGTTACTGATCTCGCGAACCAAGTCCTGATCCTCGTGGCTTTCTGGCATCTCTTCACAAAATATTCTGGAATAATTCATTTTAGGGTAAATACATCGGTTTTCGTGTCTAAAAAATATTACGCGTATAATTTATACTTTTTGTAAGTCACCTTGTGAAACATTTTAAAACATCTTCGCACCGATGTCGATGCTCATCATAATTTGCCGTTTTTAATACCCTACGACACAGTTCCAGATATTGTCTTCTTTTATCACCGGGAGATATGTCAAACAGTTGTCGTAAAATAATGTCGATTAAAATTTTGATGTCATTAGTATAAAAAAGAGAAGCTGTTTCATCGCTGGTAAATAGGTCAATGAAAAGTTTTAGTATTGAATTGGGTGGGGCGGGTTCGTGGTCGAATATCCTAACTGGGTCAACTGGAAAATAATTTAATTTAAAGTTACGCTTTACAATTTGTATTCGAGCGGTAACTGTTGATTTATTTACCTTCCCGATTGAGAAGAAATAAAATTTTCTCAGTAAATGTTTTGGCTACCGAACGTTGTTTCAATGCATCCAACACAACATTCTCCATGTTACGATGGAATTGTAGATTGTAAGATAGAATGAGATTTATAAATAAATCGGGAATTTGATCTTCCAAATCGGTGTCTGGGGGATTTTCAATAAGATCCAAGAGAAATGTAACAAACTCCGTACCTAGTTGTTCTAGAAAATTTTGTTTTCAAATTATATGACTGATTATTTATGAAATGATTTATTTATTCATACCAAAATGTGTTATTGGCATTGGTTCCCCCATTGAAAAAATCATCGTTAATAGTAAGGCCGAGTAATTAAGTTTTGTAACGTTCCTGGAGTTACTTTTCATGTCTCTGTATCATAAAATATCGCATTTGTAGATACACTTCGAAAGTATATCGTTAGTATCAAATAATTACCTTGCAAGTTCCATTGGCAAAATGCTTTCTAGCATAATTGTGACTATAACAGGATCCAAAGTACACATGACTCCAAAAGATTGCAATAAAAGTTGCCTAATTGTCCATCTTGTCTCCATTTGATAATATTGGATGAGAGTGTCTACTCCATCATAATGATCTTGTCTTAAAACATGTCTTGATACACGTGCATCCGCATTTGTCTATAAAAATTTCAAAAATTTGGATATTTTATTATTGAATGAAAAGTTGTGTGATTAAAAAAACGTACTAAAATTGAAGTAAGCTCTTTTATGTGTTCACAAATAGTAGGTTCATCCTCATGCAGCATCCAGCTCCTCTGCTGTGAATCTTCTTTACAAGAAGTTAACTCCGTAAAA